AAAAGAAAAAGAAAAAGAAAAAGAAAAAGAAAAAAAAGCATAGATTTAAAAGAACAAATACAATGAAGCAGAATGGCACTAGAAAACCAACTTCCACTGCAGCCCCAGTTCTAGAAATAAGATCTGAACTCCCATTTCAGTAACTTAGTTTTGGTTATTTGCACTCTTCCAATAAAATTCTGTGACTTACTGATTTGTCATGTAAAATTCAAAGGGTAGTAACTGCTTTAGAATGAATTTACTTATTTCTTTTTAGAAAAGTCCTCTCATTTTCATTTTAAATACTAAGAAATGAGAGGTGCCCTCACAAAGATAGCGAAGCTCAACTCCCACCAAAGAGGGAGGGAGGGGACACTGTCACAGTTTTTGGTATTAGACTGAAGGCAGATGCAGGCACAAATGCCAAAGGAACATTAGCATTAGAATTCTGCACCACTTAGCAAAGACCTTAAGGTACATCTTCAAAAGCGACCGAATGGTCAGAAGACCAATGGAACCACAGGCACTGACACATCTGACTGGAAGGAAGATGCTGCGAGATAACCCTGCCTGCAATATCACCTACAAGGAATTCCTTGCATTTCCCTGTGAGCACGAAGCCTCTTGTCTTTCAAATAAAGAACAGGAGAGGATAAGAAAATAAAAAAACCCGAAATGCACAGCAGAATTGATCCATACTTTGTAGTCTCTATGTGCCAAAAATAAGAAAACACTGACAAAAAAAGAAGTAACCAACCCCTGTCCCTCCTTAAGAGCTAAAAAACATAGTGCATGTGGACTGCTGGAGGACTTCAAATCAAAGATAAAGTCACTCCCTAGAAATCGTTTGCTGAGCAAAAACCTGCTGCTATCCACCGTTTGCTAAATTCGTGGTTAATTAGTCCTAAAACTTCCATTCCAAACAGCAAAGCTCGGTTTATTACAGCCCGCTCTGCAGTGTATTCATCTGCTTTTAAATGTAAAAGAACAACCATCGATATTTGAACCTCAAGGGCACATCAGTAGGTGTGGAGGGTGGGAAAGGTTTTCAGGGAACTTATTTTTGTTACAGAGCCTTCTGAACTACAGGTGGGAGCTCTGCAAATGCAGATGGCATAAGCAGCAAACCAAGAGGATAAACCATTCTCCCTATGCTAGCTTAACCCAAACCATTACCCTCTTCAGGACTTCAGTCAACTCTGTATTACTAATACTAAGAATAGTTTCTAACCATTTAATCACGATATTTGCACTTTTGAAAGACATATTTTCCTCCTGAAGTGATCTTAAAGAGCGTGGGTTACCCTTGAGCTGCTGATTTCACAACCCATACCTCCAGAGTTTGGGAACACACAGACCATTATGAGCTGTGCTTAATGCTGCACTACAGTTCTGTACCAAAGCTGCAATTTTTAATCCCTGTGCTAATTTCACAATTAACCATGGGTCTACAACTCAGAATACAGAACTCCCATCTTCTATAAATCTCTACTTGTGTGCACCTCTGTGCTTTTCCAGAAGAGAAATGTTAGAATTAGCAACATTGCCACTGTAGAACACTTAAGAACATTAATATGGTGAGTTTTGTTTTTAACGTTAGTGAAATTTCTCATTTGTAAGAGACTACAAATGGTTAAGCAGCTGATTAAGCAGTTCTTAAACTCCATTTACTGTGATGGAAATTAAAAATGTAAATAATGACTTCAGTGGCATTCAGTTCTGAAATCCTTACTCTATTCAGCAGCTCACAGGAGCAACTGGAATCGGTCCCTCCATAGTTGGAAGGGAAATCAGAGAGATAATAACTGAAGCCATGGCAAAGCGTCGGGTTCCCAGGCTGAAACCCCAAAGCTCTGCTTGGAAAGGTGATGCAGCACTGAGTCACAACCCCATTTGGTGGATCATCTCTCAGAACCACAGCTTCATTTGGAAAACCCCTTTAACTCAAAGCAGAGACTGATGTTCCCAGACCCTTCGGCTGCCAGGAGTGCACTGTCCTTGTCTAAGCCCTGTTGGGGTCTGGAGACACAATGTGCTGTCACATTTTGCTCAGATTCAACTATCTGGGCTCATCCTGCTATGGAAAAACATCCTTTTAGGAAATGCCAGAGCTACAACTCAAAATAAGACAACAGAAAACCCAGCTACCAGGGAAATTTCATTGTGTGTTCTATCAGCACGAGGTGCACGCATTGGTATCTCATCCTGCTGTTGGAGCAGCATGGCCTGAGGCCAGAGATATCTCCTGCTACAAAGACATGGCACTGGAGAATGCAGTGAGCTGAAGGAGGGGTGTGCTGGGACACAGCAGCCCCCTCCAGTACTCCCAACCTTCTTTAAAAGATGCACTGATTTAAATCAGGCATGCTGCTGACAGCTGGGCCAGAGGGCTGGACAGAGGCCTTCACCTGCTGAGCACAAAACTTCCTGAACCCAACACACCAGCACCTATTCCTCCCACACTGAGTGCCACTGTGTTGGATTCACACCTGATCTTCTCCTGTAGGAACAACAATAAAATCCACCTCAAAAAGCAGTGAGGCACTCTGAATGAGGCACCACATA